CGACACTAAGAGTCGCTGTAGGCCACAGCGCCTATTTAAAATTATTTAAAGGACAAAAATATATATACAAAAACAATATAAATTACAGAAAAATAAACTTTATAATTACAAATTAATATTTAAGTGCTAAATATAAATTAAACAAATTTCCAAACAAAATAAGTTAATAACTAAAAAAAAAAAATTAATTAGTGGCGCTGTGGGCACAGCGACTCTGTGTCGCTATAGGCCACAACACCACTTAAATAAATAATTAAATCTATTTTTTAAAATTACGTTTTGAAATAATTTTTTTTATTTATAAATATATAATAAGTATACTCAGTTGATTATTTTAAGGTTATATTTAAATTATTTCAGTTTTTTTTCGTTTTTTTTCTTAAATGGTGTCGCTATGGGCTACACCATCTTTGTTGGCTCACAAACTGTGTTGGTCCAGCCCATAGCGACACTGTTGTGGCTCATTCCAGCCATCCCTCCGCCAAAAAAAAAAAAGCCACGTGGCATTGGTGTCGCTATGGGCCATAGCGACACCGTTGTAAACAACCCCAAAGACGTAAATAAATTCAGAACAACCCCATTTACGTAAATAACTTGGTCAACGACCCCACTTTGGTCAAAAACCCGCACTATGTTACTTATAAACTATTATAATTATATATTATTTGGACATGTCTTCCTAATGTAATGTGCAGGTTATCTAGGCTTGTCATTATTAGCCAAGAATCTTCATGTCTGAGCTTGCATTGTAGTAGTCGTGGCACATATAGGAAATAGATGGAATTGACCATGTACCATTCCATGTATTCTCGTGTGTGAAATAATGGACCTTGCATTTGATGACCCATCAATGTGTGCTCACGTCTATTGTTCCATCGATCCATCAGAAGTGGCTAGAACGACCCATTTCGGATTCAAAATGGACCGTTCTGGTCCCACTGTTCATGTGTTAATTTTGAAAATGGAACGGTCTGTTCTGATATCAAAATGACTCATTCTGATCCATTTGTCATGTGTTATTTTTACATCTGAAATAGCCCGTTCTGATATCAGAACGGCCCGTTCTGAACGTGAATAGTAAATCGTACTAGTGATGTAAATAAATTTGCACAGTTAGTATTTGGGTAAAATTTTTTTTAAAAAGTATTATTTAAGTAAAAAAATTCAAACTTGAGTTAAATATTAATTTTGATAAATGAATGAGCTGAATTTGAGTTTGATTTGTTTAATTCTTAAATCGACTTGATATATAAATATATAATTTATATATTTAATTTTAACTTATTAAAATTTAAAATAATTCTTAAAATTCAGTTATAAATTAATAATAATAAAATATGAGTACCTTAAAATTCCATGATCATAAATTAAATTCTTTATTATTTTATGTAAAGTAAATATGAAATAATATTTATTTATACAAACTTTTGTGTAATTATATTTCTATAGAAACATATTTTAAAATTTTAAAAGATTAATAAAATGAGTTATGTTTTATCTTTAAAAAAAAATTAAACAATTATTTTATCTTCAAAATAGTATTAAATTATATATATATA